GGCAGACCACCACCCACCTGAACTGACAGGTTGGGCACAGGAGAGCATTAATCAGAGAAGCAGCCAAGAGGACCATGGTACCTCTGGAGGAGCAGCAGAGATCCACAGATCAGGTGGGATAATCTGTACACAGGACAACTCTTGCACTCCACAAATCTGGCCTTTATGTAAGAGTGGCAAGAAGAAAGCCATTGTTGAAAGAAAGCCATAAGAAGTCCCGTTTTCAGTTTGTGAGAAGCCATGTGGGGGACAGAGCAAACATGTGGAAGAAGGTGCTCTGGTCAGATGAGACCAAAATTGAACTTTTTAGCCTAAAAGCAAAATGCTATGTGTGGCAGAAAACTAACACTGCAAATCACCCTGAACACACCATCCCACCATCACCCCGCACACACCAGCATCATGTTGTGGGGATAATTTTCTTCAGCAGGGACAGAGAAGCTGGTCTGAGTTGATGGGAAGATGGATAGAGCCAAATACATGGTAAATAGAAGAAAACCTGTAAGAGTCTGCAAAAGACATGAGACTGGGGTGGAGGTTCACCTTCCAGCAGGACAATGACCCGAAACAACAGCCAGAGCTACAATGGAATGGTTTAGATCAAAGCATATTCATTTGTTAGAATGGCCCAGAGTCCAGACCTAAATCCAATTGAGAATCTGTGGCAAAACTCGAAAATTGCTATTCACGGACGCTCTCCATTCAATCAGACAGAGCCTGAACTATTTTGCAAAGAAGAATGGGCAAAACTTTCACTCTCTAGATGTGCAAAGCTGGTAGAACAAATATAAATAGTATGCACTGATGATAATTACCTAAAAAATACATAATAAAAATGTGATAATCTATCCAATCGATGAGTAAAATACCTATCAAAATGGCATATGAAAACTATATGCAATGAACTAAAAATGAGGCTGAAATTAATAAAAGACTTAAACGTGTAAGACACAGGGCACAGATTATTTGCAATATGTGGTAACTTTATAGACTGAAAACTAGGTAAAAAGATACTGAGCAAACAACCTAGTACAGAGCTCATAAAACCATCATCATGCATTCAGCATACAAAATAAATAAAAATTGCAGAATGCAAAAAATGCATGTGGATGCATGTATATTCTCCACATTATCAGCTATTGTCTATAAAGCAGTTTATATCTATATCTATGTTATGTCCATGAGGTGACAGGGTTTGCATTTCAAAAATCCATTTTGTTTCTAACAGAAACTGCCCGTCGTTTGTGACCACCTCTCCAATGTTGGCGAATGAGATCTATACCTATAAATTTAAAATGCATGGGATCTCTTTGGTGATAATACCTAAAATGTTTTCATAGGGAATGTTCTTTTAGTCTTATTGTATTATTATTATTATTATTATACAGGACTTATATAGCGCTGATAGTTTGCTCAGCGCTTTACATTATGGACAGTACAGTAACAATACAGTTCAATACAAGAGGGATTAGAGGGCCCTGCTCCTTGGAGCTTATAATTCTAGGAGGGAGGGGATAGTGGTACAAGAGGTAATTAGCTGTGGGGGATGGATTGGTAGGAGGAGTAGGGGATTCCAGTATTAGCTTGGGTCGGGGTAGGCTTCCCTGAAGAGATGAGTTTTCAGAGTGCGCCTAAAAGTGAGCAGAGTAGGTGATAGCCTGATAGCTTGGGGTAGGGAGTTCCAGAGGATGGGTGAAGCCCTTGATAAATCCTGGAGACGAGCATGGAAGGAGGAGACAAGGGAGCTAGAGAGTAGGAGGTCTTGTGAGCAGCGGAGAGTACGGTTTGGGTGGTATTTAGAGACAAGGTCGGTGATGTAAATAGGGGCAGTGTTATAAACGGCTTTATACGTCAGTGTTAGTGTTTTGAATTTTATCCATTGGGCAATTGGAAGCCAGTGGAGGGATTGGCAGAGAGGGGTGGCAGATACAAAGCGGTTAGTAAGGTGAATGAGTCTGGCAGCAGCATTCATGATGGACTGGAGTGGGGGATAGCCTGCGATGAGGCAGTGAGGAGGGAGTTACAGTAGTCAAGGCGTGATATAATAAGGGAGTGAATGAGTTGCTTAGTGGTTTCCAAGGTTAGGAACGGTCATATCTTGGAGATGTTGCTGAGGTGAAGTCTACATGAGCTTGTCAGTGATTGGACCTGGGGCTGAAAGGACAGATTGGAGTCTAGGATTACACCTAGTACCCTGGCGTGAGGGGTGGGACTGATGGTAGTGTTGTTGATCTTGATGGAGAAGTCGAGGGGGGGGGGCATGGGCTGGGGGGAATACTAGAAGCTCAGTCTTGGAAAGGTTGAGTTTGAGGAAGTGGAGTGACATCCAGTCCGATATGTCACTTAGTAGGCTAGTGATACGATTGGAGACTGATGGGGTGAGGTGAGGGGTAGAGAGATAGATTTTTGTGTCGTCGGCATAGAGATGATAGTTGAAGCCGTGGGAGTTTATCAGTTGGCCAAGGAGTTGGCCAAGGAGGTGTAGATGGAGAAGAGGAGGGATCCGAGGACAGAGCCTTGAGGGACACCGACAGAGAGAGGAAGTGAAGGGGAGGTGGCAGCATTGTAGGTAACACTGAAGGAGCGCTGTGATAGATAGGAGAACCAGGAGAGAGTCTCTGAGGCCAAGAGAGTGCAGTTTTTTGAAGAGGAGGGGGTGGTCAACTGTGTCAAAAGCTGCAGAGAGGCCAAGTAGTAGGAGTTTTAATATTAGTAGGAATTTTAATAATCTTCTACTAGTTCTACCAACGTATTGCGTCTTACACGGACATTCGAGCAAATAAACTACATGTGTACTATTGCATGTGATGAGAGATTCCACATTATATGCATTTTACGAATACCGTTGCATTTGCATTTCACACATTTATTGCAGGGATTTCATTCCAAAAGAACAGGAAACATTGGTTGGTGAGTTTATAATATTAGGTGCTATCCGATGTCTGAGAGAGGGAGCTCTATGAAAGGCAACTTCTGGTTGATCTGGTAAACTACTACCCAAGACAGGATCATTTTTAGAACTCCCCAATTTTTCTTGAGGATTTTGGTGACATCTTTATATTGAACAGAGAAATTTGTAGTTTATCTCTATCTGGGTTTATCTCTATTCTTAGACGAAAGGAGTTCTATTCTGTTTAAACTAGTGACCTCCTTTATATTTTGATTCAGGAAAGCAATATTATATCCTTTCTTGACAAATCTGTCTTTCATGACAACTATCAATAGGTATATAACTATTCCTATCAGTGCTTTTGAAAAATGTTTTGGTAATAATCTTAGTGCCATCATTAATTAAAGTGAGGTCTAAAAAATTACTTTCCCCATCATCATACTGGTACGTCAATTTAATATTAAGATCATTAAAATTGAGAGTGTTAAAAAAATTGAGTAAAGAAAATTCACTGCCTTGCCATAGGAGGAAAATATCGTCGATGCATCGACGATAAAAAATCTACTCCGGCCAATCTCTTGAATAAATTAAATCCTACTCCCATCTAGACATAAATATATTAGCAAGGTTGGGAGCAAATTTCGCTCCCATAACGACTCCTGTGATCTGTAAATAAAATTTATTGTCGAACCAGAAATAATTGTGTTGCATAGCGTAATCCAACAATTCTAAAATATATTCCTTTTGACGATGGGGAATGTCCTCTGCCTTATTCAGATAAAACTCTACTGCCATCATGCCATCAACATGTTTAATGTTGCTGTTTAATGAGGCAATTATTATTATTATTATACATATATTTATATAGCGCCAACGGTTTGCTCAGCGCTGTACATTATAATGGGAGACAGTACACAAGACAGTACAGTAACAATACAATACACGAGGGGTTTGAGGACCCTGCTCCTTGGAGCTTACAATCTAGGAGGGAGGGGAGAATGGTACAGGAGGAAATAGCTGTGGGGGGATGGAGTGGTGGGAAGAGCGGAGGAGATCAGCAGTTGAGGGCGGGGTGGCTTCTCTGAAGAGATGGGTTTTCAGGGTGCGCCTAAAGGTGAGGAGGGAAGGTGACAGTCTGATGGATTGGGGTAGTGAGTTCCAGAGGATGGGGGAAGCCCTGGAGAAGTCCTGGAGATGAGCATGGGAGGAGGAGACCAGGGAACTGGAGAGTAGGAGGTCTTGTGAGGAGCGGAGAGTGTGCGTTTTGGGTGGTAGATGGATATCAGGTCGGTGATATAGTTTGGGGCAGTGTTAGGAACAGCTTTGTATGTCAATGTTAATATTTTGAATTTTATGCGTTGGGCAATCGAAAGCCAGTGGAGGGATTGGCAGAGGGGGGGTGGCGGATACGGAGCGGTTGGTAAGGTGGATGAGTCTGGCCGCAGAATTCAGGATAGACTGATGCGGGGATAGCCTGTGTTGGGGTAGGCCGGCGAAGAAGGAGTTGCAATAGTCAAGTCGGGAGATGATAAGGGAGTGAATGAGTTGCTTTGTAGTTTCAGGAGTTAGGAACGTGCGTATTTTGGAGATGTTGCGGAGGTGGAGTCTGCATGAATTTGTCAGCGATTGGATCTGGGGCTGGAAAGACAGATTGGAGTCTAGAATGAGTAGACTTTGGCTTGCGGGGTGTGGCTGATGGTGGCGTTGTTGGTTGTGATGGAGAAGTCAGGGGGGGCACGGGCTTTGGAAAGGTTTAATTTGAGGAAGTGGAGTGACATCCAGTCTGATATGCCGTTTAGAAGGCTAGCGGAGACTGAAGGAGTGAGGCGAGGGGTAGAGAGATAAATTTAAGTGTCATCAGCATAGAGATGGTAGTTGAAGACGTGGGAGTGTATCAGTTGACCAAGGGAGGAGATGTAGATGGAGAAGAGAAGGGGCCCGAGGACAGAACCTTGGGGGACCCCAACAGAGAGGGAGTGTGAGGGGGAGGTGGTAGCGTTATAGGTAACACTGAAGGAGCATTGAGATAGATAGGAAGAGAGCCAGCCTCCCAGTCTCACCGCGCATGCTCGGGACTGGGAGCGCACGCAGCGCGGCGATTGGCGGTGCGCTGTGTCCCTCGGACACAGCGGATCACCAATCCACGTAAAGAGCCGAAGATGTCGGCTTGGTCATGTGATCAGCTGTGTCCAATCACAGCTGATCACATGTAAACAGGAAAATGCCGGTTATCGGCATTTCTCTCCTCACGAGCTGTCACGCTGACAGCTCGAGAGGAGAGCCGGTAATCGGCATTCCTCGGAGGGGACATGTACACTGATCATCAGAGCACTGATGATCAGTATGCCCTGATGATCAGTGTAGCCCCAGCAGTGCCACCTGTCAGTGTCCATCAGTGCCATGTGTCAGTGCTCGTCCATGCCACCTGCCAGTGCCCATCAGTGCCACATCAGTTCCACATATCAGTGCCCATCTGAGATGCCTTTAAGCGTTACCCATCAGTGCCGCCTATCAATGCCAGTCAGTGCCACCTATCAGTGCTCCCAATCAGTGCCGCCTATCAGTGCCAGTCAGTGCCGCCTATCAGTGCCAGTCAGTGCCGCCTATCAGTGTGCATCAGTGCCGCCTATCAGTGCCCATCAGTGCTGCCTATCAGTGCCACCTATCAGTGCCATATATGAGTGCTGCCTTTTAGTGTCCATCAGTGATGCCTGCCAATGCCCATCAGTGCCACCTACCAGTGCCTCCTCATCAGTGCCCATCAGTGCCACCTGTCAGTGTCCATCAGTGCAGCCTATCAGTGCCCATCACTACAGCTTCATTAGCGCACATCAGTGAAGGAGAAAAATCACTTATTTACAAAATTTTATAACAAAAACTAAGAAAAAAAATTTTTTTTTTCAAAATTTTCAGTGGTTTATGGTTTGTTTAAGAAAAAATAAAAATTCCAGAGGTGATTAAATACCACCAAAATAAATCTCTATCTGTCACAAAAAAATGATAAAAATTTCATATGGGTACAGTGTTGCATGACTGCACAATTGTCATTTAAAGTGTGACAGTGCTGAAAGCTGGAAATTGGCCTGGGCAGGAAGGGGGTATAAGTGCCCTGTAGGCAAGCGGTTAATAACCATATAACGAAAAATGTTAATATGGGAATGTGAGGGAGGATTAAACAGGGAAGCATTTTTTTAGGTGTGAGTATTTGATGTCACAAATATTATTGCTTTCCCTAGTTAAGGGATTGCTGATGAAATGTCTTTTTAAAGCCAATTTTATTGTAAATTTGTATACATCAATATACGTTTGGAATTTATTGAGTTTAGCTTTGGGGGCAAATTTCAGACCCTTATTTAGGAGCATAAGTTCGTTATTGGTTAAAGTTGCCTGGCTAAGATTAAAAATACTAGTACTTCCTAAGTTCTCCTTTTCTTGGGGTCTATTAACCCTTTTTCCCCCTCGTTTTCCTCTATTCTTATGCTTCTTCTCCTTGATGAGCCTCCTCTAAAAAATTACCTTGTTGTTTATATTGCGTCTCAGTAGACTGGTTTGTTTGGTTGTAATTGTATTGTAAGGGACCATTAACAAGATTCCCTTGACCGGGGGTGTAACTATTTTGTGAGTATTGATAATAGGTGTGGCGGAACCATTCCGCCTGGGCTTCCTCGTGCGGAGCGATGCGTCTCAGCCAATGGTCCCCTTGTCCTGCAAGTCTTCCAGCGCTCTGCCAAGGCAGATATTAGAGCTGAAAACCAATCCTTCCCTGCTATCCCAAACCACGAGTCGGAACTTCGTGTAGGGTGAAATGAATCAATCTTTATTGAACACAGTTCAGTATATACAGCTTCACCCCCACCAGACAGCCTGGGACCGGGTTTTCCCCACCCACAACAAAACCCTGCAACCCAACAATACAGTATGAACTCTATAGAAGTGAAAGACTACAAGGTCATTTTTCCCTAAACAAACAGTGTAGAATGTCTGTCTACACAACAGCTGCTAAACATTGTGACAGTATGAACGGCGAGGTGATAGAGGGACGCTATGTGTCACCTCGCATACGCTCATACCTGGCAGTTTAGGTGGAGTCCACTCCGGGTTTTCGGGGCCACAGTTGAGGAGGTGGGTCCGGACCAGAGTTTGGGCTCCACTGATGACCACCAACAGGTGATACAAAAAGGGCAGGGCTGGAGCAAGGAGTTGCTCGTGGCCTGGGACTCAGAGAGGTATTCTGAGAGAGCTGTGTGTGTACTATACCTACAAGAAAAGGTTTGCTTTTGTTTTGTTTTTGGTGACAGGGAGAAGCCCTTCACCTCTGAGAGAGGAAACGTCTTCTGTTTAGTTAGTGCCTGGATGGCAAGGGTTTATTTTGATGTTTTGTTTATTTTGAGATTTTCTGCAAACCTTTTAAATAAAACTGACAACCAGTCAGATTTTGACGAAAGCCTGCTGTGCGGTCTACCTTTGTCCCAGGGAAGGAGATCCCCCACCTGAGCTAACCCCACAACATATACAGCTTTACCAAGGGGAGAAACTGAAACAGAAAGAGCAAAATGTTATCACAAAGGGACGGTTCGTCACAAGGCTCCCCCGTTGCGTATACCCGCCAGACCCGGCGAGACCTTTAAATGGGTCCGCTTGGGGCTGGTCGGTTCAGAGGGTTACTTCTCCAACTCGGCTTGCCAGGACAACCCATCCGCGTTGGAGTTTTGCATCCCCGGTCGGTACTGGCAGCAGACGACCATTGTCCCCAGAGACCCGGTTTAGCCATACCAGGGGGTTGTGATCAGTGAGTACGGTAAAGGAGAACCCGTACAGGTAGGGCTGCAATTTCCTGAGGGCCCATACCAAGGCAAGACACTTTCTCCACAGTAGTGTAGGCCACCTCCCGGGGGGGTAACAACTTTCTACTTAGGTAGGCCACTGGATGGTCGTTCCTGTCGTCCCCGATTTGGCTCAGAACAGCACCCAATCCAAAGGTGGAGGCATCTGTGTGAACACAAAACCGTTTGGAAGGGTCAGGAGCAGCCAAAACGGGAGCATGGATCAGGTTATGTTTGAGCTTTTGAAAAGCCGTTTCACACTCTGGGGACCACACAACCTGTTGGGGCAGATTTTTCCAGGTCAGATCCGTTAGGGGTTTAGCAATAGCGCTGTAGTTGGGGATGAATTTACGGTAGTACCCCGCAGTGCCTAGGAAGACAAGGACCTGGGTCTTGGTTTGGGGAGTGGGCACCACTGGTTGTGGACGAGGTGCGGGTGGAATGGCAGGCTCGGTTAGCCTCCTGTTGTCCAGGTACTCATCAGCCCAGCGACTAGTGTCGGCTAAAGTTAGGGGGTGTTTGTCCCCAATGTCTAACATCCCCTGGAAGTCCATTGTAAAACTGCTCCAGTAACAGCAGTTGCAACAGTTCCTCCTGTTGGTGATCTGACACCCTTGGACCCAGCTGTGGGCAGCGTGTTGTAAACTGATGTCCCCATTTAGTGAAGGTGTCCTGGGGTTTCTTCTTGAGTGCCTGGAACTTTAATCGGTATGCCTCTGAGGTGAGAGTGTAGCGGGCCAGCAAGTGTTTCTTAACAAAATCATAATCCAAGCAGTAGCTGTCGGGTACAGTCCTGAATGCGTCTGCAGCCCGACAGGTTAGCTTGCTGCTCAAAATGGGGACCCGGTCTTGGGCTGCCACACCATGGATGGTGCACAACCATTCAAAGTCCTGAAGAACGCTGTCAATGTCCCCATCCGCCCTCTGAGAAAGTTTTAAAAGCAGTAGGGAATTTTCTTTGGTCCGGTTGCAGTCTGGAGAAGGTGGGAGGTAATCCCCTCCCAGACCAAGCCCTCAGTTGATGACCGGGAGCGACTAAGCTGCAGTTGGGTGGCATCATCCAGGGCCTTGGAAATCTGGAGGTGGGAGCACTGCCGAACAGAGCCAAACGCGACTCCACCTCTTGTCATAAATCCGAATGTTGTAGGGGTCTCCATACGGTGCTAAGTGGGTTTGGTATTTCAGAAGCTGATGATCTGCTCTGTTCCTCCAACTCCTCCTGTGAAGCGGAGTTCACTTCTGGCGGAGCAGTGTTCTCTTCAAGCGTAGCGGAGTGTGCATCAGGTGAAGTGGGGTGCGCATCCGCTTGGTCCAGGGCCATAATCTCGTCCAACAAGTTCCTCCCTGGTCTTGGAGTCAGCGATACCTCTCCCGAGTGACAAGCAGGCTTTGGAGAGCTGGCTTCCGGAGGGTCCCGTATATCCATCTGGCCAAGCAGGGACGTCTCCATGAAAAAGATGGGGTCCCAGTTGGTGGTTTGGACTTTCTCCACAATGAGGAAAGATCCCACCGCTGCCAACCAGTTGTGGCGGAACCGTTCCACCTGGGCTTCCTCGTGCGGAGCAATGCGTCTCAGCCAATGGTCCCCTTGTCCTTCAAGTCTTCCAGTGCTCTGCCAAGGCAGGTATTAGATCTCAAAACCAATCCTTCCCTACTATCCCAAACCACGAGTGGGAACTTCATGTAGGGTGAAATGAATCAATCTTTATTGAACACAGTTCAGTATATACAGCTTCACCCCCAAACCCCACCAGACAGTCTGGCACCGGGTTTTCCCCCACCCACAACAAAACCCTACAACCTAACAATACAGTATGAACTCTATACAGCTGAAACTCGAAAACTTAGAATATCGTGCAAAAGTTCATTTATTTCAGTAATGCAACTTAAAAGGTGAAACTAATATATGAGATAGACTCATTACATGCAAAGCAAGATAGTTCAAGCCGTGATTTGTCATAATTGTGATGATTATGGCTTACAGCTCATGAAAAACCCCCAAATCCAAAATCTCAGAAAATTAGAATATTGTAAAAAGGTGCAATATTCTAGGCTCAAAGTGCCCCACTCTAATCAGCTAATTAAGCCTTAACACCTGCAAAGGGTTCCTGAGCCTTTAAATGGTCTATCAGTCTGGTTCAGTAGGAATCACAATCATGGAAAAGACTACTGGCCTGACAGTTGTGCAGAAAACCATCATTGACACCTTCCATAAGGAGGGAAAGCCTCAAAAGGTAATTGCAAAAGAAGTTGGATGTTCCCAAAGTGCTGTATCAAAGCACATTAATAGAAATTATGTGGAAGGGAAAAGTGTGGAAGGAAAAGGTGCACAAGCAGCAGGGATGACCGCAGCCTGGAGAGGATTGTCAGGAAAAGGCCATTCAAAAGTGTTGGGGACTTTCACAAGGAGTGGACTGAGGCTGGAGTCAGTGCATCAAGAGCATCACACACAGACGGATCCTGGACATGGACTTCAAATATCTTATTCCTCTTGTCAAGCCGCTCCTGAACAACAACAAACAACGTCAGAAGCGTCTTACCTGGGCTAAACAAAAAAACAGACCTGGTCTGTTGCTCAGTGGGTCCAATGGTCCTCTTTTCTGATGAGAGAAAATTTTGCATCTCATTTGGAAACCAAGGACCCAGAGTACGGAGGAGAATGGAGAGAATTTGTTTCCATAAATGGATCCATTTATGGAAAACAAATACATACAATGTTTCAACCGCTGCTGTATGGAAGGACAGTCCAAGAACTGTCATAAATAGTCTATTTCTGACAGTTCTATGACATTCCCTCCATACAGCGGTTGAAACAGCTGTATGGAGTGAATGTCCCAGAACTGTCAG